GTATCGTACTTGTTGGCATACTAGAATTTAAATGATACGAGACAGGTCTAGTGTGCTTCAAGATCCTTTCTGAAGGCATTACATTAGGCTAGAATCTTTGGATTTTTCCAGTGCCTCTTATGAGACTTCAGCTAATCAGAGTTTTCCATACACCTGGTGATATTTTGCATGGGAGTAAGCCACATTTCTCCACATTTCAGATATGAATGAGCATATCAGCAAGCATGGCTTGCAAGAAAAAAAAATTGTCCAATTTTTTTTAGCTCTGTATAAAGACAGAATACTATTTTTAAAAAATATTCTGCTTTAAAGTGGGACTCCACATAGAAACCATTTTCTGAGACCACAAGGTCATCAAGATAAGAATAAAATCAATAGATCTTTCTTCCTGAGCTCCCTGAGATACTATGCCTATCTATCTCTTGAGCACACTCCTTTCAACCCTGAGCCTACAGTTATTCAAATATTTACACTGTCTGCATGTTTAACATATTGTTACGCTTTGGTTTTTTTTCCCCTCAGCAGCAAAGAGATGTTTATTTGCTGCTTTGCAAACAACCCCAGCCTGATTCTCACTTTTTCAGTCTCGGGATTTACTTCTCACCATGCACAGATTGCAAAGGAGAAAGGTCCAAGTACAGTGGTACCTCTGGTTAAGAACTTAATTTGTTCTGGAGGTCCGTTCTTAACCTGAAACTGTTCTCAACCTGAGGTACCACTTTAGCTAATGGGGCCTCCCACTGCCACCGTGCCGCCGCCACGCAATTTCTGTTCTCATCCTGAAGCAAAGTTCTTAACCCCAAGGTACTATTTCTGGGTTAACGGAGTCTGTAACCTGAAGCGTCTGTAACCCAAGGTACCACTGTATGGCAGGAATGGGAAAGCTCAGGCCCAGGGGGCAAATGCAGTTTTCAGGTCTCTCTCATGCCACACACCCTCTCATGGGCTCTGCTCTGCACCCTCAAGTTCTTTTTCCTAGGTGGAATGTGTCATTGAACTGTGATCATTCCTCTTGCTTGCCTGGACGCAGGGTGGAGAGAAGGGTGTTTGTGTAGTAGATAACTCTGACTTTTGCATGGCTGGAATGTCCTGACTGATGTACATTGCTGATAAGCACATCTGTTGCTCCCAGAGCTTGAGACGTTCGTTTTTTAAAAGGAGCTATAGTGAGCCTGCCACTTACACAAAGGTTCAGTTCCAGGAATCTGTGTGCAAAAGTAAAACCCCCAGAGCTGGCCCCACAGGGTGGAGGACTGCTTAATGAGAGCTTCCTTAGGGACCTCCTGTGACCTTCCCAGACCCTGGTAAGCAAGGAAAACCTGCTTGGGTGCAAAATAAATAAATGGAGGTGAACTGGGTAGCAGAGAGGGACTGATTCATCCAGGGAGCATGAAAGGTGAAATGAGTTTTCAATACCTCTTGGACCATTTTATGATCATTTTATGCCAGTCAGCTCCTCAAGTTGCCTAGCCAAATCACAATTAACCTAAGAAACATCAGTCAATTGCTGGACAGTTCAGAAATGTATGAGTAATCTGATTTAGTGAAAAATCAGAGCAGGAAATGTTACCCACCTAACCAGTGGCCAACTCCCCCTCTCCAGTCAATTCCAGCTCCACATCTAAGTCTGTAACTGGTAAGCATATACATTTCCTCCTTCCTTCACTCATACAATACCCGGCATCTTTACAATCTGTTTTTACTCATCATTAAATGAGAGAAGGCCTTTGGTACTTCAAGAAAGACTGGACGCGTGTATATGAGTTGAGGGAGCAGAAGTGAAATGGAAGTGAGGGAGTGTCTGTCTGCACTTGTTCCCCAATACTTGATAGTTGCTGATTGCCATTTCAAGGTCTAGGTTAAAAGGGGAAGGAATGAGAATTGTGTAATTTTATCAGCCTTGCACCACTTACCATACATTCTATTTTGGATAAAACGAATAAACATGTGCAACCAATATATTAATAAACCACACAGTAGAAGTTATCTTTCTTCCCAGAAGAAATTGTTAATGGGCGTATTTTAAAAGATTGCTTGATATAGCTTGGTGATTTTGGAACATAGCTGTTAATATTATAAGTGGCAGCTTTTGCTTATAGGTTGATAGCTGTAGGCATCATGACATTTCTTGGTGCTATTTTAGAGCCCAAGAATATAGGCTAAATTTAGATCATCCATCTATTAACAGAGAGAACAATTTCTCTTCTACAGATTATGTTATACATAGTCACTGTACATCTCAGTCAACTTTGTTTTCAAATCCCTGGAAGAGAATATAATTGTGCAACTATTTATAGGAGAGGTTCCAAGAACTGAACCTAATTTGTATAAAGTGTAGCGCCGTACTGAAATCTGTCCTCAGGTTTCTTGAAAGTTTTCTTTCCCCCTGTGAAAGAACCTTCCATTTTTTCCTGCCTAATTTTTATGGCATTTGAGAATTTCCTTAGCATTTTGGTGGGTCTGAAATTTTGATATATGCCACCCTTGGCAACCTTACAAAGATATGGTGGTGTCTTCCTTCCAGTAAACATTTCTGCTGCTCAAGGCTACCTCATGATGGCTGTCATTGACGTGTGGGCATCTGGGAAGACTGCAAATTGCACACCACTTTTGAAATACTATGTAGACACTCTCATAAGCTTTTCAACCAGCTCAAAAATCAGAGAAGTGCATCAAAACCTTGCATCCCACCCATGAGAATTTCATTGATTTCCCCCCTCCCTTTACCTTTGATAAGTTTTTTATGCAATTACTTTGCTCGTTAACTGATGGAGGATGGTCAGAAAAATGACAGAGGCAAACATCTTCAACAGAACATGAGTTGAGTGGCATGCTGGATTTCATAACCATATCAGCAAACTGTTATTCTGAAAGTTTTGTTCATTTTACGTTTCAAAGTTTATTAGACTTGTTCATACTGCCTCCATCTCAAAGCCTACATCATCTGTGTTGTCACTGCATCTTTTTGCTGTATTGCTCTCACCTGCTTTGCACTCTTACTTGCAGTAATAACTGCCCAAAAGTATGGCTTATTATGACTCTTGGTTGGAGATGCCTGATGCTATGAACCGTCTAAGGAAGAGGTCCACAAAGAAAATAACCAAAATTCTCGGATATGTCTCTGAGTGCCAGGTGACCAATTAAAACCTTAGTGACAATGCAAGATGAATTCACAATTGGTGCAGTGACTGAAAATATTGCAAAATACAGTGAGAATAGCCTTATTAGTAAGACTGTTTTCTATAATATAAATCTTCAGAATTCCTAGCTCAGCGTTTGTGGAGGACCACAAGCTAGTTGCTGGCATACTATTCATTTTTAAAATACAGATTGCTTAAATACACATATTGTAAATATGGGAAAGTGGTTTGGGGAGCAAACACAATAGACTACTGTTTTTGCCTGGACAAGGAGGAAAATTTGCATTATACACAAACTCTTGTCTAAATTTGTATGCTTTTGTAAGATGGAAGAATACCTATGGAGGAATGCATTATAAGAATAAGTATTCCACAGTGAAGGTGAATGATTTGTGTCAATGAAAAATGAGTGTTGAGACCTTAAGGTTAATCTACCAGTGGTCATCACACATTGTGTTTAATTCTGTGCATCTGTGATTTGAACTCTTCTCCTATAGAAATCTAAATATCACTTTACATATTATTAGAAGAAGAGCAGGAAGTTAGGAGTTTGACGGTGCTGCTAGAACCATCCTTGGCACTACGCCCATCTTCAGTTGGCATCAACCACTGCCTTTTTTGGGCCGAAATACTATAGCTACACTCCTCCATGCTCAGCTAATCTCCAGATTGGACTACTGCAAGGTGCTTTATGTGGGGCTGCCCTTGAAGGTGATCTGAAAGTTGCAACTAGTGCAGAAAGTGACAGGCATAGTGTTGATGGGAATAGCAGGTCAGTTGCATATATCCTGCTGACTGGTTGCTAGTTATATTCCCAGCCAAAGTCATGGTGCTTATGTTGACAGCTGAAAGTCTAAATAGTCAGGGTCCCAAATATCTGAGGATATTTTCAACCATTTTGAAACCTGCCTATGTCTTCCTCCATTTTCAGCCTGCCTATGTCTTAAGATCAGCACAAGAAGTGGTCCATGCACTTAATGAGGTCTGTACTGTGGGGCCCATGGAAGAGCCATTTTCATAGTGTGTGGAATGATCTCCCCACTAAAGTACATCTCACTCTAGTCTTATATTCTTTTAGTTGCCAGGTAAAAACCCCTCCATTTTCACCAGGCCTTATGAGGCTGATGAGTTAAGTAATTTTTAAGAGAGCTCACTTGGTAGAGCATGAGACTCTTATTCTCAGTCATGGATTTGAGCCCCACATTGGGCAAAAAGATTCCTGCATTCCTGAGGGTTGGACTAGATGATCCAAAGAAATATCTTTGTTATAAATAAATACTATATTAACCAGGTGGAAGTTCACTGTGCTTGTATCAAATGCTTTTTTTAAAAAAAAGTACCTAATGTTAGCTTGTTATTGAGTAGAGGCCACAAAGATTACAATAAGTGAAGTGGTCCTGACCTGATGTATTAATGGCTTTTGTTGCTTGACAGCAATCTCCATTCAGCATTTATTTTGTATCAAGTTCCATATTCATTTAGGTGCGTTAGTAATGGACAGATTATCCAGTATTGTTAGGAAGGTTTTTGGTTTTTTTAAAGAATAGCTTACATCTTCCAATTTACAATCTTTCCTTTTGTGGAAGCCATTCTAGGTGTGAATGAATGGTTCAAATGTGTTCATCACATTTGCACTCTGAAACGTCTTGCACGTACACCTCAAATTAGAATGTGTAAAAAGCCCCTTTGGCAATCACACCTTTTTTTCTGAACAGTAATTAAAAACATATAACTTCTTGCTTATCATGGTTCTTAGAACAGGAGTCAGTGAGACTGTTGATTTCATGTGGAAAATCATCGTGTATAAATTTATGCAATCAACATTTAAGAAACCCCTGACATCTTGTTTGCTAACTTTCAGATAGCTCAGTTGGTTAGAGCGTGGTGCCCATAACGTCAAGGTTGTGGGTTTGATCCCTGTACAGGACAGCTGCATATTCCTGCATTGCAAGGGGGTGGACTAGTTCCTTCCAACTCTACAGTTATGTGATTCCATGATCTTCCAGTCGAATGGTCAGCTTATAGCACCCCTTTACCACACAGCCCAGCCAGTTAGAAACTGAGCTAGCAAACCCCGAGCAACTTGTATATGTGTTTTCACACTCACCCGGTACATTTCATTTTCTTTTAAAAAAAGTTTTTTGGCTCTAGCATAGGTCTTTAAACTTAATATGCAAAGAGCAGTGGCAAAATTCATGATGAGCCTCTACTTGGCCAAATCAGGGGTGTATTGATTGTTTCTGCCATCTAGTTGCTCAGGTAGGTGTGTAGCTCTGGTGTGAATTGACTTTAAAAGGTGCATGAGCGGGGAAATAGTTGTTGCTCCCATATTTTGCTCCAGTAAGATGCCATTCCATTCCCTCCCCCCGCTGCTAAAAATAATAAAACTTCATTTCAGAATTCTGAAAGGATGCCAGGGGTGTTTTTAATGAGCCCGCCTCTAAACGAAGAGGGATAAGTATGATGTGTGTTGCTGTCAAGCTCTTCTTGCCTGGATATGTCATTTGTTCTTTAGGGATTCAATTTCTCTGTGTAACTCTTGTTCTGTGCTGATATTTCCTGAAGACAGAAGAGCATTCTGGATATGCTATCCTTTGCAAATGCAGGCTATCTTCCCTGCCACACCTAAGCCTTTTCTGTTTATTGGAAGGATTTGACTGCGCTTTCAGGCTACATTACCATTCACTTCTGCTCTATAAGCTTGCATGGCTTTGTGTCGCTGTTGTTGTTTTAAATCACCAGTATGACATTTTTGGTAACTAGCTATCTCCACTTCTACTTGTGTCACACAAGCTGACGATCAGTTTGTGAAGTCCTCTTACGGTTTATAACTTCGAGGGAAAGCTTGCTGATCAACTGACAGTTTTTCAGTATGCAGCTTTATTTCTGGTGACACTGTATTATTTCCACGTTTTTAGCATCAACAGAGCAAACTTCAAAAGCTATTAAAAATTCATTTCTAAATAACGTGTTTGCAAAGTCAAGTTCCTGCCCTTTAAAAGAAAGTGGAGGATATTGTTGCATGGTGTGCATTGTAAGCACGTTGCACACTATTTCTTTGAGTTTGTAAGTGTAGAATAGTGGGTAGACATAGCAGACGACGCAGCGATTTCTCCAAAGCAGCTCTTTATTTGTAAGCTGGAACAGAACTGAACAGCAAACAGCTCAGCCAGCCTGCTTTTATAGGCAGCCGGCTGTCAACATTGTAGCAACAACAACCCAGGGTTTCCCGCCTAAAATAACTGACGTGGACCTGAGTGAAAACTATATACACGATACTCCTGGTGGCCAGGATGAGAACTTCAATACATAACAGTAAGAATCACTTATTCCTTCCTTACTTTGTTTGACCTCCTTATACCGACCCCCTCACAACTTTGAGCCCTCATCCTTCAACAGCAAAAATCTAGACTCTGTAGTTAGTAGGCATAAAAATAAATCTGTGCTGCAGATCCAAAACCCAAATTCTGCTTCTCGTAAAACCTGAATTCTGAAGTTCTCTGTGAGCAGAGTACAAAACTACAAAAGCAATGCTAAACTTTTGTTTGTTTGAGAAGGCTGAATGTCATTCACAGGGATGCTGCTGCTGCTGCTGCCTCTTACTGGAATGAACAGGCAGGGTCCGCTAAAGCCTTTTGCCTCCTCTGCAGGGGGAGGAGTCATTCCTCACACAAGGGGGAGGGACTTCTTTTCTTTGGGGTTGGGGGAAAGGCAAGTTGATGAGGTGTCTATTGCAATCGATGCGGCATCTGCAATGTTAACAGTCTATCCCAGTTTTCAGTCTCTGAAGAACAGATTCAGATATGCAAGCATGTCCTTAATGAAAAGGCAGCATCCCAAGAAGCATGTGGGGAAATCTTGGCATGGGCTAGTCATGTGGAGCAGAGGTGCCAGCTTGCAAGGACGATTTGAGGGGGGGCGTCGTCCTGCGTGTGAGCATCGCACCTCCCTGCCTAAGCCGGGCTGAAGCTTCCCAGGCTTTGGGAAGGAGGTGCCTGGGGAACATCTGGGGGGACTAGCCTAGTCCCCCTAGTCCACTGACCACACATCATTGACGTGGAGGTCTGTATCAAAGCATACGTTCTAACTTTTGAATAGCCTCTCAGTTAACAGAAACTTGGAGATAGGTATGCCATAGTTTGATTATGACTGTTTCTTTAAAAGCTCTTCATCTCCAATGGCTCAGTGCTCCATTTGTCTGCTGTCCTCTCCCCGTAAAGGTAAAGGACCCCTGACAGTTAAGTCCAGTCACGAACGACTCTGGGGTTGCGGCGCTCATCTCGCTTTACTGGCCGAGGGAGCATAACTAAGCTGCTTCTGGCGAAACCAGAGCAGCGCATAGAAACTCCATTTACCTTCCCGCCGGAGCGCTACCTATTTATCTACTTGCACTTTGACGGGCTTTCGAACTGCTAGGTTGGCAGGAGCAGGGACTGAACAACAGGAACTCACCCCGTCACGGGGATTCAAACTGCTGACCTTCTGATCGGCAAGCCGTAGGCTCTGTGGTTTAACCCACAGCGCCACCCGCGTCCTGCTGGTTCAGTACTTGCATGCTATTCTTTGATGGTTCATAAAGACTTGGGACCCGCAACGTTTGAAACTGCAATAGAGCAACAACTGCCTAGAACGTATGGGTTGTATTGAATTAAGTCCTACTCTGAGCAGACTTACTGAAATTAAATAAACCTAAGTTAGTAATTTCCATTACATGCAGCGGATCTACTCTGAGTATGACTAACATTGGACGCAACTCTCATGTGCTAGATAGTACTGAGCTTAAGACTCTTTTGTAGAAAAGCACAGGCCCTAAACACAATGGGTTGGATTCAGCTAATGAGTCCCAGAGGCACCAGCCCTCTGTGATGGCACTGTGGGGCTTTCCCTCATGCCCCCTTGAAATTAGCTCGTATGTGAGTAAAGAGAAGGGGGGCTGTTCCATCTGACAAGCTGCAGTGCTTGTGTCAAGCGGGACACTCACCGGAATGTGATGTTTAATTCTGCCCAGTGTTTATACATACATACATAGCCCTACAGGTAAATTGTATGGAATTCCGCAAAAGGTGATATTTATTTGAAAAGAGGGGCCCATGCTAATTCCCTCTTTCCTTGGTCTTGATTCACTTCAGTATGATATTCATTTCTGTTTGTTCCTTTGTGGAAGACAATCAAAATTCTAGCCATGAGTATAGGGAGGGGGCAAATCTGGGGTGTGAGAATATATAAAAGATTATTAAGCTTTAGACAGAGTAGTGTGTAACTATGTGGGATGTTTTTTGAATTTAAATTCATAGCTTTCTGTCTGGTGGATTCGGTAAAACGAGTATATTATTAGGGCTGCAAAAAACCCCAACCCCCCCCCCAACTTCTTTTCCATAAAACATAGCAATTTCTGGTGCATCAAACAGTATTAGTTAAAGTGTTGATTGTGTGAAAGGGCACTGGATACCAGATGTTTACCTACAGTAGCTGAGCCTCCACAGAGTTGTGAAGTTGAAGTATCACATGAAGATAACTTTTGATACATTGACTTTATTATAGCGTCTGAGTACTGCATGCCAGTTCAGTGTAGAGCAACATCTGTGCACCTTTTGGATGCTAATTGGCTCCACGGAGCATTGTTTTACGTTGAAACGGTTCTTGTTGCCATTCTGCATTTGGGGTGGCTCTGCATCATTGACTTTGCTCGGCTGTGCTGGTTCATAAGGGCCATAGCTCAGTGGTAGAGCATCTGCTTTGCATTCAGAAGGTCCCAGGTTCAATCCTCAGCATCTCACAGTAGAGCTGGAAATGGCCCCTGTCTGACACACTGGAGAGTCACTGGCAATCAGTATAAGGCAATACTAGGCTAGATCAATCAGTGGTCTTCCTGTGTTCCTATGACTGTCACTTAAAGAGGAAGTTAAGCTTGGATGTAATTTGCCCCCTGAACGGCAGGTGTAAATTGACTCACTTTTGGGTCAGAGGCAGGATGTTGCCACCCACATATTCTCGGGGCTCAGGAAGGGATTGTTTATGTCTCCGTGCAGCTGGTTGGTTTTGACCTGAGCTTTAAATCTGCAATCCTACACACACTATAAGCTCTACTGAAATCAATAAATATAGTTAGAATCTAGATGTGGGTTAGCATAATAATATGGCACACTCTATACTTAATTGTATTTTTCGCCCAATAAGTATATATATTGGTGTCTGATTTTTATTATTATTTTATAGCTACAGTTAATACTAAAGGGTTGTTACCTGATGTGTTTAGGTAGTTAACTGTTACTTTTTTTTTTACAGGTTTTCTTTTGCATAATAATAATAATAATAATAATAAACAACAACAACAACATAGCATATATAAAACATAGTATACAGCATATATAAAGCATGCATCTTCTTTTGCATCTTTTTATCGTTGAAGCAGATAATAGGTGAATGGCTGAGAGAAGATCATGACATTTTCATTATGTTGACATGCCAGAAAGAATTTCTGTCTCTCACCGTATATAATGCACGTCTCTTTATTTATCGGAGAAAAGGGCTATTATTTTGTGGATCTTAAATAAATATGCCCTTTAGGATTCTGCTGAAAAACCCATAACAGCATGTACAATAAATTCTAACAGAGACAAATATTTGAAGAATGACTTCTTTATATGAGTATTTTGGAATTGTCCAGTTTGTAAAATATTGTGTTGCCGTTTCCACTCTACTCCTTCTTCATGAAGGATGCAAAATGAGGAGGAGGAGGAGGAGGAGGAGGAGAGCTCATGCAGGGAGGGAGGCCAACTGGAGGGCATGCTATTGCCCAAGTGCCCCATCAACAAACAACAAACCTGTAGCTGGTCCTGCAGATATATACTGACTTAGTTGTAGACAGCGACAAATAACTTGATTGCAATATCCCAATGGCCACTTTCTCACACATAACACATGAATGGAATCTGCACACTGAAAGAAGCAGGAAGAAGACACTGCTGGCCCAGCCCTCAACATTGTGCAACTTCCCTGGCCACCCACCCCAACATCTATATCAGGGGTCAGCAAACTTTTTCAGCAGGGTGGCGGTCCACTGTCCCTCAGACCTTGTAGGTGGCCAGACTATATTTTGGGAAAAAATAATAATGAATTCCTATTCCCCACAAATAACCCAGAGGTGCATTTTAAATAAAAGCAGACATTCTACTCATGTAAAAACACGCTGATTCCCAGACCGTCCGCGGGCCGGATTTAGAAGGCGATTGGGCTGGATCCGGCCCCCAGGCCTTAGTTTGCCTACCCATGATCTGTATGTTAGGCATGAAACCCTACGCATGTAGACCTCTCCAGGAGCTGGAACCATGCATGATCAAGAAGCTTAACTGTGTAGACGTATGCTGCTCAAATGTCTGTGCCTAATTTGTAGGTTTCAAGGGGCACAGCCAATGAAACTGTTTGACATTGATGCGGGCTAGCAGCACAGCCCCCACTGCTTCTTTCAACAACTGGGTTCCTTTCACACATACCTCGTGTTGTGGGAGGGGGGCTGATGATGATCATCCTTGTTATCAGTTGCCTCATGCAATAGATCTCTGGGTGACATGCAATACAATATAAAACAAAACAGTTAAAAACACATCAAAATACAAACTATTTATCATCAAAGTCAAGCTAGGCAGCAACAACAAAAACAACTAGCAGTTAGTGAATGTTTGTAAATAGAGAGTAGTTATACTGTTGCTCTGTTGCTACCCAAATAAACATCCCTCAAACCAACAAGGCCAAGTTGTATTGCAGAAAGAGAAATATGTCAATAGCAATCCATGCAGTTATGGGGAGAAATGAAGAAGGATCATATGCACAGCTCCTGTGGAATTGAAACATACTCTTGTTTTCTTAAATTGATTTGATGTATTATATTTCTATGCTGTTATTCATTCAAAACATAATAGAGCATCACAAAATACAGCATAAATCATTTAAAATAATTAACAAATCACAAATAAAGCAATTGCAGTCTATAAAACACTATCAACGAAACAGCAATTTAAAAATAAGCTAAACATCACAATTACAGCGAAGAGTCATATTGTACGATATAAAAGATTAATATGGCATCTACCGTATTTTTAAGTATATGAGATGCCGCCATGTATAAGACTTTTGGGGACCCCAGATTTAGAAAATGAGGGGAGATGGACCGGAGTTGTTGAGCTTTTTTTGGAGGGAGATGCCCCCAAAATCACTGAAGAAAACAAGTGTCTTGACACCAGCATCTGCCAATCAAACACAATCAAATTGCCGAAGCAGCATCCAACTATAACCCACACAATCGCCGCTAACAAGCTCCTGCTGCAACCAGCCACCCGTCACACATATGTACTGTCTGTGTATAAGATGCTCCAAGATTTAAAAACTTATTTTAAAGTACAAAAACATAGTCTTATACATGGAAAAGTATGGTATAATCTATAATGCCATATTAATAACATAGCGACTAAAAAAATAAGCAAGGCACTGTTAAGTTCATATGCACATTCCCCACGGTCCCATGACTTAAAATCTTTCACTCTATCCAATTCATTAAAATACACATAAAAGTACATATAATGCCAGTTGCTAAGCCAGCTCAAGTCATTTAGGGTGACAGTATCTTGGCCAGGTACTAAATCTGATAGGTAAATACCACAGTGCTAGAGACTGGAATTTCTTCAGAATAAGTGCATGATGCTTAGTTATTTTTGAGCTACCCAGCCACCACCCTTCCCCATTTTTACTGGATAGATGATTCAGAAAGCAATCCTCCCAATGACTAAACCTGCTGAAACCTTCCAAGGGGGAAATAGTTCCTTTTTGAAACTGTGATGAAAAGAACACTTGTGCATTCATCCCTGTGGTGTATTCAAACCTGCCATGAGGTACAGCACTTTTTGGAACATTACACAAACTTCCTTGTTTTAAAGCATGCACTAGTTCAGAATATGCAAACAAGAACTGAAAGAGACCTTGCAGGCCAGTTCTGCGTAAGCAGGAAACCCAATATTTACACAATAATCAATAGGGCAGCGAGCACAAAGATCAGCAGTGACTTCTTCTACAGAGTGTGGTTTAAACCCAGTAGGAGAAGCTAGAATCTTCTCTTATATTTCCTAGGGAGACCAATAAAATCTAGGATAGTTTTGAATTAGAATGGGGGTGGGGGAGAGAGAAAGTAAACTCGCTTAAAATCTTTCCATCTAGTTCAGAGCTACAACCTTATTGTATATCTATACAGAATATAAGGTTCTGTAAACATGGGTTTTTGGGTGGTGGGGTATGTTGCCTGATTTTGCTTTAATATAATGGGTGGGGGAAGAAGGTGTTAATAAAGTATCAGCTATGATTACTGTAACTGCTACTATTATTTCTCAACAGGGAATAAGCCATGTGAGAAACTGTAGACTCGATCATGTTGTGACTCAGGGTGTGGCACTGTGTGATTTTTTTTTTTTAAAGCACTCAGTGATACCCTAGCACAGCGGTTCTCAAACTCTGGGTCCCCAGATGTTGTTGAACTACAACTCCCATCATCCCTGAGCTCTGGCCATGCTAGCTAGGGGTGATGGGAATTGTAGTTCAACAACATCTGGGGACCCACAGGTTGAGAAAAGCTGTATGAGTACTTTCCATATAACCCTTTCATCAAAACAGTCACTGGTGTGTGTGTGTTTTCTTGCAGTAATATATGCACACATACAACTCAGCACAAGCTCCCGACCAATATATGGGGCTAATGTATAATTTCCATCTGCTCTGCAGCCCCAGAGCAACTAGCAGTTGGAGCTAATTGTTTGTTTCTGGTTGGGAGGAGGGAAGCAGGCTCCTTGCAGCTGCTCCTTTTGGGGCTGATGGAATGGGCCATGCTGATGCGCGCCCTTGACATGACATCCCCGTCCCTCGGTTGATGGCGGAGGCCCAGTGAAAATTGCCACAAACTACCATGGTGCTTTTAACTGAGGATAGCTCAAGACCGCTGCCTAGGGAACTGTTTAAAGAGTGTAAAACTGCTAAAGAAGAAGGAAAAGACTTTTCCGGTGCTACCCTGACACACATTCTTCTACTGAAGAGAAAGAGCAACAAGAAGGCAAAAGGTATCATGCTGTAAGGAGGCAAAGAAGAAGCAAGGGAAAAGGCAGAGATTTAGCCTGCAAGCAAGAGGTTCAACACTATGGGTGAACAAGGAATTTGAAATCTCACTGACACATGGAGGGGAGGTACCATGCTGGTACCATGAGATAAGTAAAGCAATAAAGGAGGTTCTTCTTCTGGGTTCAACAACCCATGGGTGACATAGAATGGGTAAAGCGAACTAACTAGGGATTTGAAACATCAACATAGTTGGGCGTTGTTTGGATCATTTTTAGTTGATGCTGCCTGAGGATGTTGACAAGGCACTCGTGGTGATTCGTTGGACCATGTGCTCCATTGAGCACACAGTTTAATCTGGCCATCAGGGCTGGAAGAAGATACCTTCTTGATGCAGAATCACTCTGAAATGTTCTGCATAAAAAAGGAAAGAAATGATCACAATAGCGGTAGTGGGTGTACATTCTCACCTCCCCACTCCAGCAGCCCCAGTAAAGATGGTGTAGCCAGGTCTGTCTGAGAAAAGAAGCAGTGTAGTTGAAAATAACTTGTAGTTGTGTGTCAGAGAGTAAGACAAACTGAAAGCTGAGTTTTGGACTTCATACGCTATACAAACACTATGCAGTGATGGTTCCCTCTGGTCTTGAGATCAGATTGTGGGCAGTGGGATTTGCTGTTGGAGTGTTTCAGCTGTGTGCTTCCACTGTGCTTAAACTGTGTATTTTCAAATGTAGTCAAATATTGCGCACACACAAAAATAAATAAATTAAAAAATGGTCTCATTGAGTCTTTGGTGAGTCCTCCATACAAAGGAAACCAAATCCAAGTTAAGCTCCTCAACCTCTGGAATTTTCACTCCTTGAGGGAATTGGGATGAGCATAACAACTTGAAAGAAAATTTTATGTTCCAGAGAGTGTAGGATAAGGTTCACAGTGACATCATTGGGAGGTCAGCCAGTCAGCATCCTCAATAGCTTATTTTGGTTGTAAAAATGTTGTGTGTATCCTGACCACTTGCGATGTTGCTAAAGATGGATCCAAACAACCCAAAGTCACAACCAAGTTTTTCCTAATGAAACATATTGAGGTTTAGTTTGTTTTTTCCGCCTTTTTGAAATAAGTAAGGAATATTAAGGGACAAAATAATAATTTCAATAAACTACAGGCATACCTCGTATTGCGTCCACTTCATGTTGCATCTTTTCACGTTACGTCCCGTGGCAACCTGGAAGTCCCGGAACGGGTTACTTCCGGGTTTCGCCGCTCGCGCATGCACAGAAGCGCTAAATCGCTCTTCGCGCCTGTGCAGATACAGCGCTTCGAGCTGTGGGCATTTAACCTTACGGATGGGCCTCTGGAACGGATCCTGTCCGTAACACGAGGTACCACTGTAATTAACTTTTGTCATGAAGTTTCTTCATATCCTTAAGGAGGGAGTTTTCTTTTCTTTTACCCTGGTACGATCTACTCAAACCATCCGTGGACTTCCTTTTGGAATACTTTAAACAGCACCTAAAAAATGCCAAAAGGAATGACTAGCAATACAACTAAGTAAATGAGCTGATTTGTAATATAGCTATGAGAGGGTTTCATGGTGCTCCTGTTTTAGCAACTACCTTGCCTGAAACTACCCCCTACCCCATAGGGGATGGAAATATAAGCAGCTGACTCTTTAGGTGGTAATTTTAAAAGGAGTTTTGGTTTAAAGCCATGGCCCATTGCTGAATATATATAAATTTAGATTAGGGTTGGAGTGTTATCAGTCTTCTGTATGGTTAGTAGTGAGTTAGCTGAGACTCTGGAAATATAAATCACTTTCCTCTGTCCAGAGGAATAGAGAGACAAAGTCCCTCCTACTATGATTAATTTTTCCACTCTGTAATTCTTTTGTTAGGAATCCATTGTGGGTGGCTCTAACAATTTTAGTCTGTGAGGGCTAATATTTTACTCTCAGCAAATGGATAATGTCCAATAATTACAGGCTGATATTTTTAACTCTGCTAACGCAAGGCACGCCGTGTGTAGCAGCAACAAGACAATGCCTAGCTATGAAGTCAAATCTTTCCCGTGCATATATCTTTCCGTATTGCAGCATTCACTCTTACCAATTTCCTGGGCAGTATCTACATCAAGCCACTGCCACCTGCTGCAGTTATTATCCATTTTGACACAAATTTGAAGCATAGGGCTACTTCCACTATTACTTCCCTCCTCTCATTTTGCTAATGTGTGTAGGAAAATTGAATTGTAAAACATGGGAATAGGCAGATATGGAAATGAGACACACATCTGTTAAAGTGCTTGGGAACTCCTCAGCTGTTCTTTCTTTCTGACCTTTTTAATTTTTATTTTAAATATGAGTAAGGAAATGTAGCATGGTATAGATGTTTGGAAGACACCATGGCAGAGGAAACATGAGGGGCCATGCTCCTTTCCCACAATACTTCCATGTCATATCTGAAGAGTCATGCCCCACACAGAGGTGTAGGAAGGTCAGGTGGTGCCTGGAAAATTTCTTGTCACACCCCCCATTGATTGATTTATTTTTTGTCTGCAAAAATGGTTTTAAGTTAAGTTTCATATTTTCTTACAAAGGACTAATAAATAATAATTAATAATAATAATAAACTTTTATTTATATCCCACTCTCCCCGGTCGAAGTCGGACTCAGGGTGGCTAACATCAGATACGTAAAGGTAAAGGGACCCCTGACCATTAGGTCCAGTCGTGGACGACTCTGGGGTTGCGGCGCTCATCTCACTTTATTGGCCAAGGGAGCCGGCCTACAGCTTCCGGGTCATGTGGCCAGCATGACTAAGCCGCTTCTGGCGAACCAGAGCAGCACACGGAAACGCCGTTTACCTTCCTGCCGGAGTGGAAGTAGACCTATTTGTCTACTTGCACTTTGACGGGCTTTTGAACTGCTAGGTTGGCAGGAGCAGGGACCGAGCAACGGGAGCTCACCCCTTCATGGGGATTCAAACCACCGACCTTCTGATCGGCAAGCCCTAGGCTCTGTGGTTACATAACATTGGTTTAAAATCAAACAATAATTAAATTACCTCCTAAAAACATGTCAAAATCAAATTAAAGTGCTCCACTGAATTGAAATTTCAGCCTTCACGACATAGGAAAACGGCCAACTAAACAGCTATTTTTGTGGGTCAAGATATTAACTGATATGTATGAAATTTCATATATAGCTATATAATCCCTAGTGTAGTAAGATAAGACCTTTGGAGCAGGCATTTTTTGAAAAAAGTTTTTTATGAACCGCCTTAGCAGGGCAGTAATTGTTCCTTAATAATTTGTCACCCCCTTCCTACACCCCTGGCCCCACGATGCACACCTACCTTTGAGGCATGAATGATGCCCTATTTACCACAATTCAGTACTTACTGTTTTTTGGTATGAGTTGTGTTGTCTAGAGCTGCTAAAGCACTGAGACCCAAAGAGTAAGGCGTTTGATATCATTTTTCATCTGAGACAGTGTTTTGTTGCTTGTTCACCCACACATGAAGTCTTATTTTCCTCTTAGATAAATCAGTGTAAGCCCATTAAGGATAATAGGGTTAACTCTGATTTATACCCTCAAATGTCTGAAGAGGGTAACTTGTGTGAAGTTTATAAAGAGCAGTAGATTGGTTGTCAGCAGTGTGAAAAGCCCTGATGGATCACCGAAAACCAATAATTAATTTTGGAGCACATATTTTCCAGAGTGTAACAAAAACCTATATGATGTCCTTGAGTGTTGAAACTAATGCATAGAGCTCTGCAGTGCTGAAAGATGTGTACAAATTCATGAAGATAGATCAGTTTTACCTGATACTCCATTTTTAAAGAAAGGTTATAGACATGAATTCCATCCTTCCAAAATTGTTTATAATTTGTGCTTTCTCCACTGGCTTCCCATTTAAAATATTAGCAAACATTTGAAAAGAGAACTCTAGCTTTTCCCTTTTCATGCTTGAAATGAAACAATCTTATCTTTGTCATGGGAATTTAAGCCAAATTTTATAATCCTAAAATATCAATATAAAGCTACCTTGACTGTCATTTTACACATACTGCGAAGTCTTGCTTTCTTTCCTATGAAAACCCATGTCACAATAAATCCACTAAGTCTTTAAGCTGGTATCACAGGACTTTTTGTTGTTATCCTGAAGAAATTGGGGCATCCGAAGGTTTATCTCGCAAAGAGCTGTAGGATACACAGATAGATTTATTCAATCTATAGGAATTTCTTACGCACACACAGGGATAGAGCACGTGCGAGAGAGAGCAAGGGCTGGTGTAACAATGGCTAAGAGACTGGCTAAGAGACTGAGCTATGAATCAGCAGGTTCCTGATGGAATCTCACCTCAGCCATGAATTCACTAGGTGGGCTTAGGCAATTTACTGTCTCTCTCAGCCTCAGTCCATGCATCTACAACAGGGAAGGATGGCCTGAACATAAAAGACAAATTCTGGCATGACTGTGCTGGCTACCAGTTGGTTTCTGGGCTTAGTTCAAAGTGCTAGTTTTGACCTTTAAATCATTGCCCAGTGCAGAACCCAAACTGCCTCTTCACACATGCACTGGCTTGGAACCTGTGATAATCACCTGAGACCTTTCTTCCTGTACCCTTCCACAGGTGGTCTGGAGGGTGGCCAACAGGGGTGGACTTTGGTCCTTCAAACTTCAGCAGTGCCCTGCAAGAGGTCAAAATTCAGTGCTCCCAGCCTCTCTGTCCATTCTGCTCAATTCACAGCAGTTAGCGCTGTGGTCTAAACCACTGAGCCTCTTGGGCTTGCCGATCAGAAGGTCGGCGGTTCAAATCCCCTCGACGGGGTGAGCTCCCATTGCTCTGTCCCAGCTTCTGCCAACCTAGCAGTTCGAAAGCATGCCAGTGCAAGTAGATAAATTGGTACTGCCGCGGCGGGAAGGTAAACAGCGTTTCCATGCTCTCTGGTTTCCGTCACGATGTTTTGTTGTGTGCTAGAATTGGTTTAGTCCTGCTGGCCACATGACCCAGAAAGCTGTCTGTGGACAAACGCCTGTTCCCTCGGCCTGAAAAGTGAGATGAGCGCTGCACCGCATATTCGCTTTTGACTGGACTTAACCGTCCAGGGGGTCATTTACCTTTTACTACATCATAGTTGTGACACCCTGCAGCACCCTCTAGGCTCAGCGCCTAGTGCGGCTGAGCTGGTTGCAC